AAGACAGGGCCGAGCCGTGCCGGGGTGCAAGGGGTGCGTGGCACCCGGGCTGCGCTCGCTTGGGTCGGCAAAATTTACCCAAAAATATAAGTACCAAAAAAGTAAAATCAAAACGCCACGCAAGCAAAGTGCAAAAAAATAACATAACTGGCCAAATAGTTGCTATTGAGAAGATAGCGCCTTTCCCTGTGATGTATAATATATGTATGATAAAAACAATAGAACCAAAATTGTGCGTAGCTGGCGCTGACCGATGCTATTACATGCAAAGACGGCAGCGTACAGAGAATTCCCCGATATTTTCGGGAATTTCCCGAAACTATCGGGGAATTAATATTTCGGGCCGAAATCTATACGTCTATACGTGTTTAGTTTTACCGAAAGATAGTTGCGAATTTAATGACAAGTTGCCTTGTAGTGTGATTTTTTTTAAATTTATTTCTGTTATACATTGTGTTATTACTGTTATCACTGTATTTTGAATAGTAAGTTTATTCCAAATATCTTTTTGTGACCTACATATATTATATAAAGTTGAAGTAGTATTTTGCACTTTTTACTGATTAAATTTTTTTAGCATAAAAAAATTTCCGGTCTTTATTTTTATTCAAATTATAAACTGTTATTTACTGATATAAATCGACCGCCGAAAACATTACATTGGACCAGGATACAACGAATACTCCCTCATAAAATAATACGCAAACGAAACCGAAACTGCAGATATTGATGTAAGTGGAGAGCAATTTAAAGAACCAGCATATTGGCCAGAAGTATTGACAGATACTGTTAGACTTATGATTTTAGACATAGGTCCAGTACAATTAAAAAATATTATTTATCCTGTAAATAATTTAAACAGATCTTTCAGCTCTACTTACTTCGTAAAAAAGTTAACCAATAATGAAAAAGTACCTAGAAATTGGCTCATTTACTCAAAATCTAAAGATTCAGTATACTGCATAATAATGGTTTTAGGGACTGGCAACACTTGTCTCGGGCTTTAGAGAGACACGAAACTAGTAAGGGGCATTTCGAAAGTGTTAAGAAATGGGTTGAATTAAAAAAATCAACTGAAAAAGGTTTAACTGTCGATTATATGAATCAGAATTTATTTCAAATAGAAAAAAAAGATGGACATCTGTTTTAGAAAGAATTATTTTTGTGATTCAATTTTTGGCTGGACAAAATTTAGTTTTTAGGGGCAACAGTCAAAAACTTTTCGAAAAAGGTAATGTCAATTTTATGAAATCAATTGAGACAATTGCAAAATTTGATAGTGTAATGGCTGACCATATTGGCAGGATGCAAAAAGATGGCAAAAAAATGCCACATTATTTGGGCGATAAAATTCAAAATGAAATAATCACCTTAATAGGAGAAAAAGTTTAAAAAAATATAATTGAATCCTTAAAAATGTGCAAATATTTTTCAATTATCCTTGATTGCACACCTGACATTAGTCATCAAGAACAAATCACAATTATTGTTAGATTTGTTTTTGTTGATGATTTTTCTGAAACTGTAGAGGTTCGAGAACATTTTTTAGGATTCTGCAAAGTTAGCAACACTACTGGTCAAGGTTTAACTGACTTCATATTAAATTTTTTGAAGGAATCTGATATTAATATTGCCGATATGCGAGGCCAGGGTTATGACAATGGTGCCAATATGAAAGGCAAGCACATTGGCCTACAAAAAAAATTTTAGATATCAATCCCAGAGCCTTTTTTGTCCCTTGTGCGGCACACAGCCTTAATTTAGTCGTGAATGATGCAGCAAAAAGCTCGCTTGAAGTGACCAATTTTTTCAGTATTATTCAGGAACTATATGTATTTTTTTCGGCATCAACATATCGATGGAATATTCTTTCAAAAGAAGTGCCTAGGTTAACGCTAAAACCGCTCTCTGATACCCGGTGGGAGAGTCGAATTGATGCCGTGAAGACTCTTGGATCTTTTCTAAAGAGGAAATAATGAAATATTGTACCAATTTATAAACTGAACTAACTGACCCGGAAACAAAAAATTCAGATATAAATGCAATAGATATTTACAATGAGATTGATATATAGTCTATTTACATTACTAATAAAAAATAATATGTTGGCCAAAGAAGTATTAGCCTATCTCGTTGCTAACGAGTTGAAAGGAATATTTCCTAATTTATTTGTTGCGCTTAGAATATTTTTAACTATGCCAGTCACTGTAGCTCATGGGGAGCGATCATTTTCAAAACTAAAATTAATAAAAAACTACCTAAAATCTACCATGAGCCAATCCAGGCTTACAAATTTAGCTATAATACGTATCGAGGAAGATATTTGTTTTAATTTAGATGTGACTGACCTAGTTATGGAATTTGCACTTAACAAGGCAAGAAAAGTCGATTTTAGTATTTAGACGTGTATACCTACCTAGTGTTGTATTTCTTTTTTCTTTATTTTACTTTATTTTTCATAAAATAACTATGTAGATTTTTGTATTTTGGTTATACCAAATTTATATATTTATGTACATAATATGTTGTATAAGCTCATATTTATGTTATAGGTATGTATCTATTCGTTGACTAAATAAATGAATTAAATGTTCAAAATTATGTTTTTATTAATTTTCTCTAATTTGCGATATTTTCTTATACGTTTCTTATACGTTTTCCAAAACTGCTGATGAGGCGGCAAATTTGGTTCTTGCTCCCGGGCGGCAAAAACTCTAGTCTCGGCCCTGCAGTCAAGAAGAATCTTATCGTTTCTTCAAGAGAAGGATGACTCATGAATCTGTCTTGCACCAACTTCTCAAGCAGCAGAAGTGAAATCTGCAATAGAGTGGAAAACAAATTGGCCCTGAGCAGGTCAACAAATATTTAAACGATGATTCACCAAACAAACCAGAGACGATAAAACCCTGCATGGCTGATTCGTGAGCAAACCTAAAGATGCCCTCATATAAAAAAGTTGCTGCGGTCATTAAGATTAGAATCTAGCACCTTGAATATCTGATAATCTTTTTATGGATCAATCAATTTAATTACGGAATATCATCAACTTTAGATTGATGATGGCCACTACCATACACTGACGAGAGGCCAAATAGCCCGAAACCGGTCTGCAAGTGTGCCCGCCCCTACGATTGAAAATCGATTCCATCAGTTGTATCACCAACAGCATATGCAGAAAATACTTCTGTGAAGATTTCTGCACTGACATCTGTTGAATATAAACCAACGCTCTTCGTGGTATTAGCCAGGGGAATAATTGTTTTCTGATAGGTGTCAGTCCATGAACCTATAGTGTAGGTAAGTCGAGACTGGCCTGAACAAATTGTTCTTTTAGTTAATTTGTTGATGTTAGTCTCGTAATAATTCTGAAATAGTGACAGTCAGTTAAATTTTATTAAACTGACATACACTTCAAGAGCGGATTGAAATAGTGCGGTTTGTATTACGAACATGGGAAATCCGCAATGTGCATTGGAAATAAACAACATGCCCGTTCAGAAATAATCAATAACGAATACATTGCAGTTTCACACATTATATGACTAAGTAGTATCAAGGATCAGTGGGTGAGTCGCACAAACGTTTTCAGGCTATTTCATCGATATAAATGAAACTGATTGATGATTTGAACGAACTTTGTTGTAAACCATATGTTTTCCGATACTAAAGTGATTCAAATCCCAATTTGACACACCAAATTCACACCCAATAATCCCAAGCATTGACTTTTCGGGCAGGAATTTTGATTTAGTTTCCCTATTACTGCACACTGGTGTTGCCTTATGTTCCGAGGGATATTGAATCCGTTGTGCAAAATACCGACTTGCCTCAAATCGTCAAAAATGGTAATTGCACGAATGCCAAAGACATTTTTGGTTCGCTACGTCTACTCAGAACACACCGGTGTTGGACCCAATGACCGCTCACTTTACGGTTGTGGACAGTGATACGTTGGTTAATGATGCTGGCACGCTCATATAATGAGTCGGAGCCTCTGGTACAAGTCCTGACCAGCAACCAATGTTTGTGTAAAATAATAATAATGAAAAAAATATCAATACTGATAATGACAGTAGTGATAATAATAATAATATGTCTGCTTTCAACCTGAATTAAATAGAAGTGATAGACGTTTGTTTGAAGGTGATTGACAATGTTTCGTGATGAATTTCACTAGTTCGGACTTCCATTGTCTACTATATAAAATGATTTTTTATTCTTTTTTAATTATTCTTTTTTTACTTGTTTCAGGGATTTCAAATCATTTTATATAGTAGACAATGGAAGTCCGAACTAGTGAAATTCAGAAGTGATAGACATTTAGATGTTCAGGCGGAGTATCAATCAAGGCTGTTTTTCAATTCAACCTAATATGACTAGAAATTATTTTTTTCGAAAAATTCAACAAACAAATGAGTAATACGCCAAATTGATTCGTGTGTGACTTTTTTCTGAAAGTAAGTTAACTTTTCTATCGAATGAAAGCCTTTTTCGTGGAGCGAAACAATTTTTTTTTCAGATAAATTGGTATTTTCATCTCACACAATCTGAAAATGATGAAAAAGAAGAACTTCTTGTTTCTAATGAAAGTTATCGTCTAAACTCAATAAACTTTTCTGAAATAAAACTAATGTATTCAGCAGTAACTAATAATAAACAAAGAAATATATATCTCAAATTGTTTTTTGTTTCAGTAAATCACATGCATTTGAAATGTAACCTACATTATCAAAGTTCTGATCGAAAAAATCTCTGGCGATGCCTTGTTTTACTTTACACTTTCGATCATTTAAATCGTGTGTTATCCTTGCCCTTCTTTAAACTGGCTCTCAAGACTGTTTTGAGTCATATGAATAAAACGAATAGCCCAAATTGCTTGCATAATAAATAACAACTTGTTTAATTGATTTTGTATTCAAACCCACCCTTTTACCGATACAGATTTTGCTATAAAAGATATTGCGAAAAGAATTCGGTATCACTCAACTCGAAACATTCAGAGATCGAGGTCGACCAACACTACTTACTACAATGGCTTACAAGGTAAAGAATATTCATCAAACTTATACTAATTATTATTTTTTTAAAGAAGGCAGGTAGCATAAGATGGTATAATTTATTGTACTATTTTAAATCTGCTATAATGATAAAGAGACATATCAACACATGTTATCGATAATAACCATTGCAATTTATTAGAACAGTATTCATAATTAAAGTTTTGTCAACAAAGTGTTCTCTAAATTTTGTAAATTTCTACTTAGGTTAACGGTACCTAAATAACTTCCAAGAAACAATAAAATTTGCAATTTATTTTCTGTCGTGAAACCGCTAAACACATTTTTAGTAAAAATCACAATAAATGTACAATTATTGATGATCTAAAAATTGATTCATTTAGGAAAAAACTGAAATTAATTTTTAACCACCAAACCCGTTCAGAATATGATATAATTTACAAAAAAATATGGAAAGAAAGAAAGCAATTGATTTCAAAAATAAACTCCTTACAATGATGTGTACTTATTCATATAGAGCCAGAGCATTCATTAATATTTTCTAACATGCAAAAGTATCTTTACACTTGGCTGCACCGCGCTGATGAGGCCAATAGCCAGAAACACGTGTCCGCGGTTTGCCCCCCTTTTTTTGGAGTGTTGTGTGGCGGTGCAGCCAAGTGTAAGGATGGGCAACACTTGGCAACACTCCGTACATTTGTATTTCTATCTTTTGGTAACAAAGTGTTGCCCATTCTTACACTTGGCTGCACCATACTGATGATGGGCCAAAAGCCTGAAACACGTGTCTATCGTTTGCCACTTTCTTGAGTGCTATGTCCGATTAGTAACTTCTATTCCTCAAACACAAATCTAATCAATGTATATGTTCTATGGGTTACATCATAAGCTAACTTCAGGAGCTTTCTGTTGATTAAAATAATTTATTTTCTATCTTTGGTCTGGCTATCAATGAAAGGTAAAAATATGAAATGTGCATCCGAAATGAGCAAGTAAAAAATGTAACTCCTGAAAACATGTGTGAAGTTTGACAAACAGCACAGACGATCTGAAAAAAATTACAGTTGTCTCAATCTTCTTCACTTTTCAACTTTCTTAGTCTTGGCTACCAGAATTATTCAGGGAACCAATGAGAATTTACCTAATGGCATTGATCATTTTCTTAATTGAACAACATTTCATGACATTATTGTAAGTGGTACAATACAATGAAATAGGGAAACATGTACCTACAATTGTACACATGCTGCGACACCATTACACCTCAAACCTCAATTGATTTCCTGGATGGAAACCATCTTTCATTTCACAATTCAATGATTACCGCATTTTCCGGCTTACATGTTAACGGAAAACTGCTCCTGGTATTGGTGAATGAAATATCAGGATCGTATAATAGATTGAAGGGCCTGAACCCGTTGAATATAATAAAAAGTCAAACAAATTTATGTGAGAATCAATTTTCCCAACTTTTGGTGTAAATAATAGAAAATATTTACCGATTGAATTCAAAACTACTTAAATTTGTGATATTTTCAAAATACGCTGCAATAATTTCGTCTAGTTTATAACTTTTTTTGCGGAATCCCCTAGGAATATTCGAAACTGTTCATGAATCCATCAACAAGCCCATATAGTCCAATAATATCGAAGAGAAAATGTGTAACAATAGAATGTAACCATGAAAACTGTTACTTCACATAACAAAATCTGTTGAATACCCAGTCCAAACGTTTTCAATCCTCAATAATACCTAAGTTCACTTCTTCACGAAAAGCGAACGCCAAAAAAAAACAAATTTTCTCAAGGTAATGAATAATTAAAAAATGATCTTTACTTTCTTAAAAATCGGAGACCTCTCGTTATTTTTCTCTAAGAAATTATTGGAAGGAAATCCCGTATGGACGCCAATGGCAAGAATAAAAATTATTTTTCTACAACAGAAAGTGTCTTGATGTAGGTACTGAAGAAGCACACCACCACACTCATACCAGTCTTATAAAAATGTTTTTCAATTACAGGGTGCTGACATTTTCAAACCTTCAGATTATATTGAGGTGCAAGAGGAAGAATGAACTCTGTTCAATCTTGTATCCTATTGACAAATTTGTATTTTGTTTTTCTCCATATTGTATCATGTTATTTCAGCTGTCAATAAATTCATTTATTATTATTATTATTATTANAATCGTTCAGCCTGGGGCTTGAACCACCGACCAACACGATGGTCAATTCGAGTGAGTGAATAAAGCACCCGCGTCAAACCGATCAGCTTCCCAACATATGATTCCACCAAGAGAGTACATATCAGAAATACGCGACGGACTGTGGCTGTTTAACTCAGTACACCCCGAACTTCACTGTTTAAAAACTATTTTATTTGAAGAACTGCGTGTATGTAGAATAAACTTCCTGAGAACGTTAATCCAAATGGATTTAATCTTCAGCGATTCAAATCCAATGTGAATCACGACTTTCGCACAGGTACCGCTCTTAGAGCGCCTTAAGGATTTTCTTGTAGTTTCGTCCTGTAGTTTCGTCCTTAAAAAAAGACTGACGCAGCACGGCACTTTGTGTTATATGTAATGATCACTTCAACGAAATGAATGAAAACACTTTTGGCTAATTTTAAATAAATCTATTGAAAACACTTTCCCAACACCAGCACAAAAATTAAGATCTCTTGACGCGCGTTTTGCTAACCAGAAATTCCAGTAAGAACTAATAATGTCCAGTAGTTATTTTATTTTTACGACCGGTTTCGGGTCGTAAAAATAAAAACTAATTAATACATTTGAAATCTAATAACGTGGTTACATAGGGAGTCTATAGGTAAGCTTGATGGGGAGGGGACTGAATGAACGGGGTGCCAACTATAAAAATTCAACACTGGGCATTATAGAAATTACCGGTGTTGCCAAACTTATAAATTCAAGAGTGGAGACCTACATAAATCGAGTTGCTCGTTTATAATTACATATTTTGGGTTTTTAATTGATTTATTACCTCCCATGGCTTCCAAAAAATTCATTTTCTTTCCTTTATTACATGTGTGTAGGATTTTCAGATTATCTTTACTTATATTTCTTGCAGATGTTTTTACATTGTAGATTTTTGTCCAAACAGACGTGTCAGGCGGATGACTCTATTCTGGATGGAATCCACCAGCTTCAGGGCATACTTGGGGATGGAGCTCCATACTCCTGCTGCCGGTGAAGATGTGCATCCGCAGCTAATGTCCTGGAGTATATTGGATTATTGGGTTTTTCCACTGTATCATTGATATACAATAAAAATAGGCTGGTGGAGAACACCAGCGTTGATGGTGAAAGTATTCGAGAGATATCCATCGACCTTTGTTTCCGAAAGCCATAATGATGATCGGTCAAGATGTTGAAGCCTTCCAAATATTCAAGAATATGGTGGTTTACGGCTTTCTCCATGATTTTCGATATCACTGACACCAAAGCGACGGGTCTATAGCCAATTGGAAGATTTTTCATGCCATTTTTGAGAATAGGATGAACGCGAGCAATCTTCCAACAAGAAGGAAAAACCCCTTTCTTGTAAGACAAGTTGCGAATTCTGCAAAATACTGGTGGTAGTTCATTTGCGCACTTTTTAAGTACGGTGACGGATACTGCATCAGCACCAGGCGCTTTGCTGATATTGAGTTGTTTCAAAATTCGACTGACTTGACATTGTTGAAAAGTAATTTCCGGCACTGTGGATTCTAGTGTGGGAAATCGACTGTAGAGTGGGACGCAAATTATTCAGCTAGTAGATTTGCTTTTCCTATGGCTGTTGTTGCAATTGAACCATTCGTTTGTGTTAGTGGTGGAATGCATGAAAAGCAAGTCCGCCATGTTGGGAGGTCCGCCAGTTCAATCACTTGAGGATGAGTGCTTTGAAATTAAATTGCAACATTTGACCCGAACTAACATACATACGTGTACAAAAGTACATACACATGTTACGAGATTTTTTGCTTTTCTTAGTAAGCGATAGAACAGTTTAGGTGTATGCACCGACTAATATATGTGTCCTGAAGTTGGAGCATCATGACATTCCATGAAAACTATTTTCCGAAGAGATTTGGGTACTAATAATTTGCAATCATGGTCAGGATCAGAAGATGGAGTCGACCGCACAAGTTTGTACAGTTTTCCCCCACGTTCACACCACTTAGGATATTTTTCTGGCCTGGAACGGATTTTCTCTCGAAGTTGTTCATACTATGGTTCATAATCGTCTTCAGTAATCTCAATATAGGCTACCGCTTTTGATAAGGCATACGTTCAATTTACCTTTTCGATGAATTATTTTGAAATCGAAATTCTGTAATTGGAGGGACCACCTAGCTAAGTGACCTGAAGGATTTTGAAGTTTATGGAGCCATAGAAGTGAAGTGATCCGTAATGACCTTCAATTTAACTCATTCAATATAACAACGGTGTTTCTGAATTTCCCATAAGACTGCTAAACATTCCAGTTCCGTGGTTGAAAATTTGGATCCTTGAGAAGTCAAAGCTCTGCTGGCATAAGCAATCACATATTCTATATATGTGTCAAACCGCAACTTATTCCCACCTGTGAAGCGTCACACTGCCAAATGAATTCCTTCGAAAAATCGAGACAACTCAGTATGGGAGTCGAAATCAACATCTCCTTAATTCTCACGAAGGCAGCATCGGCTTCATCAGACCAGACAAATGTTTGGTGTTTACGAGTTAGTTGACTGATGGACGATACTAGAAAAGCGAAATTTGGAATAAACCACCTGACCATCCAATAAAACGACGAACTTCTTTGACTGTCTTCGGAGTTGCATAGTCTATCATCGAATCAACTTTCTGCGGATCTATTCGGAGACCAAGTTCGTCAACAAGATATCCCAAAAATCTCAACTGACTCTTCACAAACTCACATTTGTTTTTTTAACTGTCAACCCAGCTTGTTAAAGTTTATCAAAAACTTTTCGTAACACTTCAAAATGTGACGATGATATCATCCATATAAACAAAA